AAACGGAATAAACACGTACACCATTTGATCGCGCCCCAGCCTGTCTCTTTGTTGTTGTTCATCATCTAGCCGCTGCTTTATTCGTGGAAGGGGGAAGTGGGGGGGAGGGGTCGTGGGGGGTGGGGAGTGGAGAGTAGGAGAGGCACGATTTCCAGAACCTTATCCTGCCGCCAGACAGTGGAGGCAGCAAGAAGGATGTGGGAATCAACCAGGCATTGGGACGGCCCAGTGTCTCCAAGGCTGCAGCGACCATCAGAGCTGCAAGTGTCCCAGGGAAAACCCCATGTCCAAGACCAGCGCCACTTTGGGGCTGGGTGCCAACAAGGAGACACTCTAGCCGATCGATCACCATCGCCTATTATCCGGGTGTGCGGCTGGGGTTCCAGCGTGGCCTTCAGGCGCGGCGGCCGAGGCGGCGGGACACGCGCCACGCACTCAGCGAAGGACGCGGGACAATGGCCCAGCCCGAGGACGCCGGACGCCGGACGCCGCCCGACCTGGGGAAGGAGCTCCGGTCGCCGGCCTGGGAGCCCCGAGGCGGGAGCGCGGGCAGCCGGGGAGGTGCGCGGCCGCTTTCAAAGGAAGCCCCACAAAGGCGCCGCCGCGGGGCTGCGCCGGCTCCGGCGGGTGGGAACCACTTGGGGAGGGGGTTGAGAAGGGTGGGGGGCACGCGAGCTCTCGATGGCTCACGGCTCCCCGCCCCGCCCGGCGGCTCCGGCAGACAAATAACCGAGGCGGGCGAGTCACTCACCGTGGTCTTGACCGGCACGTACAGCACTGGCTTGGCGCCGCCACCACCTCCACGGACCTCGTCCGGCTGGCCCAGCTGGAAGCCCTTGGACTTGACCCAGAATTTAAATTTGGCGTTGTCCGTGGAGCTTGACTCGGCGCCATTGAGAAGCTGGACGATGCGCTCGTATTTTTTTCGGGTCACCGTCTTGGTCTTGCCCGAGTCCCCGTAAGTCCGGAGGCACCAGTCCTGGAACTGGCGGTACGTGTCGCGCTCGTTCTCCATGTTCCCGGCGCCCGGCCGTCCGCCCAATGCTCCAGACGCACTTCGCACCTGTTCACCCGGGGCTCATGAAAAATGCGGCCCTGGCCTCCAAGCAGGGACTCGAGGTCCCGGCTGCTGCCAGAGAGAGCCTGGGGCGGGGGCCAGGCGGGGAGCAATGGGGCGCAGGGAGGAGGGTCCAGCTGGGCACCGGCGCTCAATGCCCAGCGCTCCCAGGTCTCGGGTTCATTCTCATCGCCAGAGCTGCCTCTCGGACGTTTTGCCAGTCCTCCAAACGGTCGGCCTCTTTAATATCCTGTGGCCAGGACCATCCCAACATCTGACCCAGAAGAGCTGGATTCTGAATAATTAAAATCCCATTCCTCGGTTTATTAAAAATCCCAATACTGACTCGGAGGGGTCCCTTGACGCTTCGCCCCTTGCTACGTTCGGGGCGAAGCCGGAGGAGCGCCGTGCCGTCTCCCCGCGCGCGCCCCAGCCTAGGGCCCCGCGGGCCGGGAGGGAGGGTGGCTCCTCTCCGGGAAGGAAGCCGCCGCCGGCCGCGCGCCTGGTTGCCCCGAAATGGCACTCGGGGCCCAGGGCTTCTTCCTCCTCCAGGGTCCTGCCCCACTTCCACCTTCCCTGCGTCAGGCGACAGGAGACTAGTAAGAGAAAGTTCTTACCTGCCCGGTTAAGCCTATCAAATCCTGCTCTACAGACAGAATAATCATAAATCAAGGTATTTTTAAAACGCCTTAAAATATCATTTCCTCAGATGCACTTGGGTGAAATCCCAGCCTCGCGCACAGGCTCTACGAGTTGGGGCGCAGAAACCACCAAAGCCTTCTTGGAGCTTTGCCTGTAGTTCTCTAGGATAGGCTGTGGTACCCCAAACAGAGAGATCCGTCCCAGAGGGATGTGTGCCAACCCAGGCAGGCCGATGCCGG